CATGTTCATTGCAGCACTATTTACAATAGCCAAAAGATGGAAACAACCTAGGTGTCTATCAACTGAGGAGTGGATAACCAAACTATGGTACATACACATGGTGGAATACTATGCAACCCTAAAGAATGACGTAGAATCTGCAAAACACTGTGTAATGTGGATGAACTTGGAGCACATTATGCTGAGTGAAATAAGTCAATCACAGAAGGACAAATATTGTATTAGTCCATTATTGTAAAAGTCAAGGCAAGGCTTATCTATGGAAGGACATTTTCTTTGTTGGTTACCAGGGGTTGAAGGTAACACTGTTAGATAGGTAGAGACTGGTATTGATTTGGGTGAAGAGAAGGGCAATGTACCAAATGTGAGTGATCAACATGGTGGCATTGAGGAAGAGAAAGACATACAGAGCTACATGGAAGGTGCAGACAACAAAGATGAATCCTTTTGCACATACAGTACTGTGTTGGCAGTGAAGGCAAATACGGGTATATGGGTGGATAGATGAGTGGACAGGCTGAACTATTAAGTATATCCATGCAGCAGGGAATGTATCCAAGACCATGTACAGGGTTGGCAAACAATAGTACTAAAAGTGTATTTGTATGTTCTGTACGAATTCCCAGGTTTATAGTCAAGCTGACAAGGGACAAGTTTGTAGTTACTTCTTGGTCACAGCCAGCTACCTAGAGAGAGTGAGTAGTTGACCTGTGGGCTCAGGACCATAATCACAGGGGACATCAAGCTCAATTGGCATAACATGCTACACCAAACATCATTCCATGTCTCCTACTTTGGCGAGCTTGCAAGCAGTCATCTAGATGCAACGATGGGTCTATCCTCATCTAGAGCAAAGAAGAATGAAGAAAACCAAAGATTCATGGAAACAATTAGTCCTAGTGACTGGTACACCATGTGATCCGCAGCCTATACAACTGTGAGACCAGAAGAACGAGATGATGCCCAGCTACCACTGTCAACCACTGGGAGGGGGATCTATGTAGGAGATCATGGATAGAGAGGGAGAACAATGTGAAACAAAACTCAAAATCATTTGGAAAAAAAAAGGGGGGAGACCAGGTTTGCTGGTCTGACAGAGCCTGGTGGAACCACTGAGACTATGGCCCCTAGCTGCCCTTCAGGTCTGGAATTGAACCCATACCTGTGGTGTCCAGCCAAACAAAAGACAAACATATGAGTTAAACATTTACCTGAGGTAGATACACTCCTTGGAGAGAACAATCATGGGAGAAAGAAGGGCTATTTATGCACAGGGAGACAGCTGGGGTAGGAGTGCATGGAGGGATGGACACAGGTAAGGGGGAAGGAGGAAGTGGGAGGGGAGGGGAGCTGTTGCATTGGGGTAAATTGTAATCAATGTCATGAGACAAAGTGTATGTGAACTGCTGTATGGAAAGTGAATTTGCTCTATAAATCTTCACCCAAATCACAATTAAAAACAAAGAAAACAGCTTCCAGATGATTTTGAAAAAACAGCCAGGTTTTAGAAACACTGGCCTATAAATATAAATTCTAAGCCCATTCATGGCATCAAATTTCTTCATCACCTTGGCTCCTGCTCTCTCCCCAGCCTCATCAGCCTCTCTCATGTCTACTTCCCTTGCTGTCTCTTCTCCAGTGAACCTAGAAGCTCCTCCCTGAAACCAGCAAGTTGTGTCACATCTCTGTGTTCCTGCTGTGCCCTCCACTGGAAACACTCACCTCCCACCCCCACACACACACACACCTCACTCTTGCTCTCAAACTGAAGTACCACCTCCTCAGTGAATGAGCCTCTCAGAACTCAGTAGTAGGCCATCTCCTTTGAGCTTGCACTCTGGCATTTAGCATTTGTATCACAAGGAATGACATTCATTTGTTTATAAATGTCTCTCTCTGCTGTCTCCTCTTCAGCCCCACCCCCCTTACTGGGGCTTTGGACTGCTTTGTGTCCCCATGTCTGGCAGAACACTTGACACCACAGCATAGGAAGCTCTGCATAAATGTTAGCTGTCACAGAGTGCCAGGTACTGAAGAAAGTGCTGTCTTGCTGGCACAAATCTAGGTGGTTCTGTCCCAGATGGTATGCAGGCTCTTGCACTGAGGTAGAGTTCTGACAGACCTTGATTGGTCACTAAAGGTCTGCCAGAGTCCTTTATAGTTGAGCCCTGGGATGAGCTATGCAGCTGCACTCTGAACCCAAAGCAGCCCCCAAGACCAGAAGGCCATTACAGATCTGGAAAAGACACAGAGAAGTCACTGAAAATTGATCCGATGAGGATCTACATTTCTTTCCAGTCCCTTGACATCTGACCTGGAGAGTAGAGGAGGACTCATCAGTCATTAAGACTAATTTTCTTAAATGTAAAAAAGTGATCATTACTTTGCCAGCTGTTTTATAAAGCTGCTTTCCAACTAAAGCAACATCTACCCTTGACTCACATAAACCAAATGTTCTCCCATTCTTTTAATTCTTCATATCAAATGAAAATGACTTGATATTAAAGTGAAATGCCATTGTTCTAAGTAATGTAATGTACATTGTTCTAAGGTAATGAACGTACCTGCTTCAAGTCTCCTTTTCGCGCCTACAGTTTGGACCTTTTATACTTTTCATCCTTTGAGGTTCAAAAGTCAGGAATATACATAACATGTAGTCTCAGAGAAGGTGCTGAAAACAAACTCTGAAAAGCTGAGCTAAAAAGCTAGGGGGGCGTGAAGACAATTAGGAAGAAAAGTTTAAGAAGAAAAAGAAAAGGACACACACATACAATGGGGTTTTGTTTTTTGTTGTGCTGTAAGGAAACCACCGTATCAAAGGTGAAAGTGTCATTTTACACTCCTACAGCTATGCCAGGCAGGAAGTGTGTGTTTGCTCTAAATCCTAATTTGGGTGTGTTCCTGTAGAAACGTTGAACCCTCTCCTAAGGGAAACAGAAACTTAATCATGCAGGAAACTAGATACTGCAGAAACAGTTGTAGTTCAGTGTGGCCACGAGTTATCTTTGGTGTGGAGGCAGAGAGAAAGCCAGTTCCTTGTTAAAGCGCGTGTGGAGGGCACCGGTCACGATGAGAGTTCGAAGATTGCCTGTGGACATTCAGATTCTCTATTGTGCCAGGCCTGACCAGGAGCCTTTTGTGAAGGTATGAGGGTAGGTCCCTGAGAGATAATCAGGAGCTGGTGAATCCTTAGTGATCTGCTCTCTAATAGGTTTTGAATTACCTTCTACTTAGAATTGTGCTGACATTTCAGCCAGAGCAGGTATCTTACTCCTTCTGGAGATGTGAGTGGTTCAGGGGCCCACTAACAACTGCTAATAGCAACCACAATATGGTGTGGTTGCCCCTTTCGTTAGAGTCAGAAATTCCTGTTTGATTTTTTTTTTCCCCCAGTTATTTTATAGCCTCATTTTGTCCTATGGTAAATGTCAAGTTCTCCAAAAGGATGGTGTCTTTCTTACTGCATTTAAAGTGCTGGATTTGTGATTCTTTGATCGTGTTTTCTTTATCTAAATACTCCTTGAGGAGATAGTAAGATTGATAAGCTAATCTTCTTACCTGTAAATTTGGCTCAGATGATGGCACATATACTGTCGCTGTGCATTTTAGAAATTGAACAGTTTATTACCTGACAGCTTTCGCTAGATATAACTTAAGTATTACATTAACTGCATTAATACTAGTTCCAAGAAATTTTGGTGAATGAGTTGCCTAATCCCTCAATTTCAAACTAATTCAGTAATTTATACAGACTTTAGACGGGTCACAGAATGATTTTTTAGGTGAAATGGTCTTTGGTAGTTCATAAGCATAGTTACCGAGTAATGTGTATCCTATAATATTTCTCAGCTTAGAAAGAAAAAATACTTTGATCATTTCAGCCATACATGAAGAATCATAACTTAGTTGGACTTTAGAATTAAGCCTTATGCCTCTTTGTAGTGTTGTTAATGGCCTCTTTGTTGCCATTCATTGTTTCTATCAGTGTTAGTTGCTATGTTCATAGCTTTGACAGAAAAAAAAAATCAGGAACTTTGACTTAGAAACTATCCTTATATGCCCTAACTCCCTGTTTCTAGAAGACTTAACCCACTGAATGAGCTCTAATTAGTCCCTTTACAATTCTAATTTAGATGCAGGCTAAAGGACAATAAATAACTTAGAACATTTCAAAGGCACGTTGGCTGGACTTGATGGCACACAGCAAGTTGATTATAGAGTTATACATAATTCTCACTGAGCAACTGAGCAAGTAGCAGTGATAGCAAAATGAAAAACTTGTGACTAATTTATATGTCAAGTGCCTCAGCTGTACTGTTAAATTCTGCATTTGTTCTGAAGTTGAAAAATTAGCTATTTCCTCAAAGTGCCATTTCAGTTTTGTGTAGTAGAGCTGAAGCTCGCACATTTTATAGGTAATTGTGTACCTGAGGTAGCTTTCAGCAGTCTGAGGAAAAACAAACACGTCCTTTTTCCTGATCGGTTATGTACTCTCTTTCAGATCATCACTGTTGAGGAGGCAAAGCGCAGGAAGAGCACATGCAGCTACTATGATGACGACGAGGAGGAGGTGCTGCCCGTCCTACAGCCCCACAGTGCACTCCTGGAGAACATGCACGTCGAGCAGGTGGGCTTCCTCCGACGCCTCGGGAAGGGGTCTTCTAGGCTTTAAGATGTACTTCTCACCCCTGACCACATTAGCTCTTCTCCCTCTGGGTGAAGAATGAGCCAGCCTAGAAAGGGGTAATGCTCGGGCTTAACCAACACCTGTGTCCCCTTTCTTGCTCCCTGCTATGCTTTTTTTTTTTTTTTTTCCCTATTGTGACTTGAACAGTAAGTAGCATTCCTGCTACCTTCTCAGGAATGCAAGGACTGTCGATCAGAGACTAGCATCCCTCTACCAACAAACCCAATGAAAGAATCATTTCTTGTCTTACAGGATTTTTGTTTTTTTTCTTTTTTAAGACTGGGAAATCTACCTCCATAGTGATACCGCCTCAGAAACCCAAGGGAGGGGTTGCTATGAGTCTGGTCCGACTCAATGGCACATAACAACAATAACAACAACACTATAGTCCTAGAGTCCCTGGCAAATGCAAATAGTTAACACATTCCGTCAGTAACTAAAAGTTGGGAGGTTGGAGTCCACCCAGAGGCACTTTAGAAGAAAAGCCTGGAAACCTCCTTCCAAGAAAATCAGCTATTAAGCCCTTGTGGCGCACAAGTCCACCCAGACCCGGGGGGTCTCCAGGAGTCAGAGCTGACTCAATGGCAGCTGCTTTATCCTAGTTCTACGACAACTACAGTGTGGTTAGGAATGATCCAAATTTATCCCAGGGATTATTGCAGCATTCCTATAGCTTTAGTTTATAAGGCTCAATAAATGACATATAGCCAATAAACTTTACTTGCTTTATGAAAAATATCTGCCACTATGAAGAATTTTCCTTTTTCTATATTTTATATTTTCTGAAAATCTGTTACTCTAATTTTATGATAACCCCCCAAAAAACCAAACTAACTGCCATTGAGTCGATTAAACTCATTGCGACCCTTCCTTGGGTTTCTGAGGCAGTATCTCTATGGAAGTAGATTGCCCAGTCTTCCTTCTAAGGAACAGCTCATGGGTTTGAACCACCAGCCTTCTGGTTAGCAGTCAGATGCCTTAGGTACTACGCCACCAGAGCTCCCTAGTTTTATAAAATTGAAATGCGATGTGCTTGTATTTGAACCTTCAGTAAGGAATCTTATACTTTCCTCACCAAGTCAGCTTTGAAACAGGAATTTTAGAGACCTTAAGGATTATTGGAGTCCCTATGTGATGCAAGTGATTCTCATGCCCCAACACTAATAGAAGTTAGAGCTTCTGCTGTGTGTGTTTTCAACAACAAAATAAATAAAATGATGTGGAAAAAAAGAGGTTCAGGTCCACCCAGAGAGCCTCAAGAGAAAGGACTGGTGATGTACATCTGAAAAATTGGTTCTATTCCAACACACAGGGGGCTGCCGTGAGTCTGAATTAACTCCATGGCCACTGGTTAAAGGATCGCCCTATTCAACAGTCATTTTACAAACAAGCTGATGCAGGCCCAAGTAAGCCAAGAGACTTGACTAAGCAGTTTAAGAGATGAGGTTAATGGTGATAATAAAACCAAACTCACTGCCATCAAGTTGATTCCAACTCATAGCGACCCCCTTTGGGTTTCCAAGGTGGTAAATCTTTATGGAAGTAGATTGCCCAGTCTTCCTTCTGTGGAGTGGCTGGTGGGTTTGAACCACCAACCTTCTGGTTAGCAGTCAAATGCCTTAGGCACTATTCTACCAGAGCTCCTTAATGAAATTGATTCTAAGCATTCTGAAGAATCTAGCACTTTCTAACCTCCTTTGTTAATAATTTTGAAGAGGTACACATCATTGATATTTGTGGCAAGTAAGCATAAGGTAAATCTTCATGTAGATAATAGATACAGTGACAGTTAGAATAGACTACATCTATCTGTTGTTTCGTGCTGTCATGTTGATTTTCGACTCATAATGACCCCATGTGACAGAGTGGAAATGCTGCAGAGAGTTTTCTTAGCTGTAATCTTTATAGGAGCAGATTGCCAGGTCTTCCTTCTACAGAGCTTCTGGGTAGGTAATATTGCAAATACATTTGTATTTTGGTTAGCATCTGAGTATTTTTCCCTTATGTCACCAAGACTCCTTACATCTAATTACTGGCATAAAAACACTCAGGTTGTCTTGCTCTCACTTCTGTGAGAAGCTGTACTTCTTATTAGCAGCTCTGAGACTATGAGGGTTTAGAAAAAACAAATGGAGAAACGTGAACTTCCCATGGCTTCTGCCAAACAATAGACAGGCATATAAGGTGAGCATTTATACCAGGTGGGTATACTCCTTAGAACAATTAACCATGGGAGATCTGAAAGGTAGCATTTGCACAGGGAGATAGCTCAAAGGGCAGGAATATATAGGAAAGAAGGACACAGGGAAAAGGTAACCATAGGCAGGAAGTGGGAAGAGAGCTGTTGCATTATGGGGATTGCAGTCAGTGTCATGAAACAAAATATGCATGAACTCTTGTATGGAAAAATGAATTTGCTCTGTAAACTTGCATGCAAATCACATTTTAAAAAAGAAACATGCGAACTCTTTGGTGAAAGTCAGGTTAAAGTGTAAAAGGAAGAGCTGTGTCTAGTTCATATGTGTTTATCAAAATAGATAACTGTGTCTTCAAATACAGAGTTGCATCGCATCCTACTGTTAATCTCGCAATAGGAAAGGATGCCATGGACAGCATCCTTGCCAGGGTGAACACTGCCAGAGCACTGATTTTCCCTTCCCTTTCCTGGTTATAGTGACAAATATTTGCCAAAGTAAAGAACAGCATGTAAGTAAGTCTGAGCCACAGGCAGTTGCTTTGTGTCACAAGTTCATGAGTGATTTGTTGTTGAAAGGCATATTTATATCTCCGTCTTTGGATTTGCAGCTGGCCCGATGCCTTCCAGCAAGGGTGCAGGGGTATCCGTGGAGACTTGTCTACAGCACGTTAGAGCACGGCACCAGCTTGAAAACTCTCTATAGGAAATCAGCTTCGCTAGATAGTCCTGTCCTATTGGTCATCAAAGATATGGATAATCAGGTGAGGCCTGTTCCTGTTGTTGAAAACCATTTTTTAATGAAGATCTTCAAATTTACACACTAGTGGACAGATGGGAGCTCTGGTAGCATAGTGCCTAAGGCACTTGACTGCTAACCAGAAGGCTGGCGGTTCAAACCCACCAGCCACTCCTCGGAAGGAAGGTTGGGCAATCCTACTTCCGTAGTGATACTGCCTCGGGAACCCAAGGAGGGGTCGCTATGAGTCGGGGCTGACTCGACGGCAAATAACAACAACAACAAGTGGACAGATGAGTAAAATGATCCTGCATCACCCAGATCCCACAGTTAGCAAGGTTTTGCTATATTTGCTTTATCTGTCTTTATTTCTCCTTTGCCTAAAGTATTGTAATAAATCCCAATCATCATATTATTTCACCCTACATGCTTCAGAATGTATCTCTAAAAAGAAAATAAGCATTTTCTTACATAATCATAATGCTGTGGACCTAACAAAATTAATAATAATTCCTTGGGATTCTCCAGTCCCCAGTTGTTAAAAAGATTGCCCTGATTGCTAAGAAATTATAATTTAAGAAAAAATGTAATTATTTAGAATCATCCAGAGGATGAGAGAGCAAGGATGATTTTTCCTGTTTATTGATCATAAAGGAGCCTACTCTCCTCCTCGTATGGCCATATGCCTTTGTCATATTTTAGCACCAGGCTTTTAAAGAAAGATAGCTATCTCAGTTGAATTTTAGCTCTTTTACAGGAGGATGACTAAAAGAAGAGAAAAAGATTTTGATGTTTTTGTTTGTTCTTAGTAGCTCTACAGAAATATTTGGTAGCAGAAAGTACTATTGTTAAAAGAGTTTCTATACTTCTACTCTACCTAAGACTTAATATTTCAAGAAATCAAGAACTGAGTGTAATTGGTAGGGAAGAGCACCCATGGTGATAATAATCCAGTATGTTGTTGTTGTTGTTGTTGTCAGGTGCCATCAAGTTGGTTCTAACTCATAATGGCCCTATGTACAACAGAATGAAATACTACCTGGGCTTGCACAATCATCACAATCATGGCTATGTTTGAGTCCATTGTCGCAGCCACTGTGCCAATCCATCTCATTGAGAGTCTTTCTCTTTCACACTGACCATCTGCTTTACCAAGCATGGTGCCCTTCTCCAGAGACTGGTCCCTCCTGACAACATGTCCAAAGTGCATTAGACACAATCTCAGCATCCTCACTTCTTAGGAACATTCTGGATATACTTCTCCCAAGACAGATTTCTTCATTCTTTGGCAGTCCATAATATATTCCATATTCTTCACCAACACCACAGTTTGAACACATCAAACATGTCTCGAATACATTCTTCTGTCTTCCCTTTCCATTGTCCAGCTTTCACATGCTTGTGAGGCAATTGAAAATATCATGGCTTAGGTCAGGCACCCCTTAGTCCTCAAGGTGACATCTTTACTTTTTAACACTTTAAAGAGGTCCTTTGCAGCAGATTTGCCCAATGAGGTGTGTCATCTGATTTCTTGACTATTGCTTTCATGGGAATTGATTGTAGATCCATGTAAAATGAAATCTTTGACAACTTCAATGTAGTCTCCAATATCATGATGTTGCTTATTTGTCTGTTTGTGAGTATACAAGCCACCACAGTAAAACAAATTGACAGATGAGTGGTAGAATTGAATTTCAATGATTTTGAAATAGCCTAAGACTTTTCAGATAACATCCATTTAAAACACTTGTTTCTCAAGTGAGATTTAGAATAGTGGCTATATCAGAATCATCTAAGAATATTTCTAAAATACATATACTTACCCCACTCTGCCCCTCTCCAGGTGTTGATCATGATCTGAAATGATAGGAAGCTGAAGCAGTAGACATGCTTCATATTTATAAAATGCTGTTTCTTGGGTAACTAGCCTCTCCTTCCCACCTCCTACTAGAAGAGTGATTGATATAAACATATATAAATCCATTTTACAGCTCATAATATTAAGGATTTTAAAAAAACAGTTCAAAGTAAGGTATATTGGATCAGTCATGTTAAGGATAGAATTATTGACAAGCATAAGGCTTTAATTTTTACATATCAAAAGGGGAGAAAGTTTCTATGGGAAAATGTCTGGCCTTGATCGTATAAAACACATGAGAGATGTGCCATTGTTCCCCTCAGCCCCTATTTCTGTGTTTAAGATACATTTCCTTGTTGTTCAATGTCCCCAGTACATTATCTGTATGCACTAAAGAACATTTGTCTCCATAGTGGAGTTTGGAAGTCTTTACAATTGGAACAAGCTGTTGACTTTTGACAAACATGTTGTCTAAGCTTCATCTAATGGATCTTCCATGCAATGGGGATCCTGACCAGTTGGGTTCCAATTTGAGCTGGAGACATTTTGTTTACTTATTTGTTGGTGATCCTTTTCCATTTAAGAGCTCCAGTTTAGCAGTAATCCTTATTAAAAGAGGAATAATGAGATCTCAACAGGATTGTGTCATAAATATATCAGAAAGTCTTTCTTTGAAATATTTGAGTTTGAAAGTAAGTAACAGTACTTTTTCTTTTGACAGGTTTTTGGAGCATATGCAACTCATCCTTTCAAGTTCAGTGACCATTACTATGGCACAGGCGAAACTTTTCTCTACACTTTTAGCCCCAATTTCAAGGTACCTGTGGAGAAATATCCGACCTCCTGATGTCATGTTGGGCATGTTGGGGGTTCAGGGGTGGCCTGGAGCAGCAACTGTCCTGTAACCTCATCTTGGAATATTTAGCCATACTCCAACTTAGGTCAGCACTTCCTGACTGTAGCACACACCTACCTGTGGAACTCCTCTTCTATGTAGTCTGGGATCCAGGGAGCGGGCAGTCTGGAGCCTGAGTGCCTGAAAGGCCTCTCCTATTTCATAACCCCTTCAGATATCCGGTCATGTTGTGGACCAGTAGTCAGGAGCCACCTCAGCCAATGCAGTAGTGGTTCCCTTGAATAGGCAGATTCTATCTTAGCGTTCCCTTTTTGATAATTCTCCAGATTAAAATGCCTCTTCTCTGTTTTGTGTTTCTATCCCAAGGTCTTTAAGTGGAGTGGAGAAAACTCATACTTTATCAATGGAGACATAAGTTCTTTAGAACTTGGTGGTGGAGGGTAAGGTTTTATTGATGATGTTTTTAATTTACCACTTGAGCTGAGTAGATCTATTTTGACAAAAGTAACCAAAACCTAGACGTCTGGTGATTTTAACTGGTCCATATATTTAGATTAACTAGGACAGTAGCCTAACACATGATACTAAGAATCAAAGATAAAATTATTTATTTATGAATTTAAACGAGGGACTACTACCATTTGTCTTGTAGGAAAGATGGTTCATCTAAATGAAATAAAAGGAATATATCTTTTGCTTTATAAGCAGTTTAGTTTTATCTATTTATAGATTAAAGGAAAAAAGATGGGGCAAGGGAGTCACTGATTTGACTAGTGTAGGCTGTTAGAAAGACACATTTTAGTTTATTTACCCTGAATGTATTTATATATGTGTGTGAGGAAGAAAGAGCCATTTTTCACAGCCACATAAGAGCCACAAAAGATTGAAGTGTTTTCATCTTTTTTTTTTAAACCTAGGGGACGATTTGGTTTATGGCTAGATTCTGATTTATACCATGGACGAAGCAACTCCTGCAGCACTTTCAATAATGATATTCTTTCTAAAAAAGAAGACTTCATAGTTCAGGACCTAGAGGTGTGGACATTTGAGTGAAACTGAGAATGCCTTAAGATATAACATAAAAAGACTGGATTCGATCAGCCTCCCTAATGCTGGCTGGAAGACGAAGCTCCAGCCCAGGCTGCCTCATCCCATCATAATGCTTTCTTTCTGCTGTCACCTCTGAGCACGATCACATCGCAGAAAGATTCAGAAAGGTATATGTGGAGGGCAGACACTGAAGGAAGGAATTTGAAGTTCCGATTGTACTCCCACCTCCTTTAAATCCATCCAGTGAGGTATTAGAGTGTTTATAGATGTATGAGTTAAATGCAACTTTTATTTTTGGTAACTGTGAAAACAAACAAACAAAAAAGATACTGTGGAATTATATACATACCTTGGGTATTTATCAGCATAATTGTCATTACCAAAATGTACAGCATACTGTTGTTTGCCGTGGAAGAGGGCTCATTTAGAAAATTGAAAGTGTACAGTACTTAAAGGAAATATATGATTTTTAAAAAAAATTTTATTTATTATTTCTGATATATTGACTGAAATGTGTTGGCAGTTTTATTTTTGCTTTTACCGTGTCAAATCTTAAAATACATGTATAGATTTTGTGCTATGTTTTGGTGACAAATCCATTTGATTTATATAATTTTATATTGAATTTTTTTTTTTTTTTTTTGCCCTGATTGTTTAGGGTGATATGTCTTAAGCAACCTACATGTATTGAGTGCATAATTCTGAATTTTTAAAAAACTCATCATACATGTTCATGGATTTGACTAGTATAGGCCATTTAAAAGGTACATATTAGTAATTTGCCCTGAACATACTTACATGTGTATAAAGAAAAAAGAGCCATTTTTCACAGCCATAAGTTGATGTTTATAAAAATGGATACCTTTGTGAACCTAGACTTAAAACAAACTCTGCTTTTGAGAAGAAATAGTTTTGCCTTTTATAAAATCATGTGTCTTAACTTTATGTTCATGATATGCTTTGAATAACTTTCCTCAAGTTTTTATGTTAATTCACAGATTTCTGTTTTAAAAAGAGGTGAGTGTTTTCATTTCTACAATTTTAAATCAAATGAAAATTTTTAAATGCACCCAACAGTCTTCATTTCTAGATCCTTTTATGTGAGGAAAAAGCAATGCAAAGAAATGCATGCATATCAAATTGTAATAAAAAGGAAAACTTTTTTATTTTTATACATCAACTCATTCTCACACAACTAAACATTCTTTTATTAAAAATAGTAATAATAGTAATAAAACCTTGTCAAAACTTAACCAATATTATTGATCACCCAACTTTAATGAAAGCCAAAGACTGCTGATGGAAAAAAATTTCAGATTGTAGCCAAAGCTGAGAGGTAGTCTGTCCTAAATTGTATCCCTAGTAATCTTTGAAGGGAAAATTAATAAGTAGTATTTACATTCCTATGAGTTTTTTTAAAAGTTCTTAGAATATTAGATTTAAGCTGGCAGAATATTTCCTTTAGATTATTCTCTCATTTTAGACTGCTCATAAAAGGGAGCAAACAAATAAATTGCTAAGTGGTCTCCTGTCAAATCAGCAATTATTGGACTCTACTTATAGTCCATGCAATTTTAAGTGAATGCTATAAAATCTTAAATCTGTAGCTTATTTGTGCTTTTCACCCATGACCTCCTATTGAGAACTCTCAATTAACAAGATACTGATGGTTTAAGGTTAATCTGCTCCTTAAGTAATGTTTTGGTGTGAAATACCAGGAATGTCTCTGATGATCATGTTTACCATTGATGCCATTTACAACCATGTGCTTGCTATTAGCAAACAAAATGATAATTTTGCATATAGCTCCCTCTTACCTAGTTTAGTCCATGAAGCTATACTTGTGAGAGCATATCCAGATGCTGTGTTCTCTATTTAAAACAGTATTGTTCAATCAGAAATGCGTGACCTTCATTTATGGATATTGACTATATGTAATGCAGTGCTAACCCAATGTTTTCAATAAAGGAATTTATGCATTCAATGTGATTTTCTTTCCTGAGGATTTATTCAGCAGGTATTTGTTGGGTGAAAGAAAGGATGATGAAATATCCAACACTAAGCAAAATGCCATGCTTCCATTTTGATTGCCACCCTGGAAATTCCCACTTCATTCCTTGTATTCAGCCTGTTTGTCTCTTACCAGTTTCTAAAAGCTACATCTGTTACAATTACTAGAGATCACTCTTGGCTCTGTCTGACATCTTCTTTTCTATTTTTAATCCTTGTAACCGTTCTATGACTGAAGAAGAGTTGATGCTTTTGAGTTGTGGTATTGGAGAACAATGCTAAGAGTACCGTGGTCTGGTAAAAGGACTAATAAATCTGTCCTGGAAGAAGTACAGCTTGAATGCCTGTTGGAAGTGAAAATGGCCAGACTTCATCTCACCTACTTTGGTCATATTGTCAGAAGGAACCATTCCTTGGAGAAGGATGTCATGCTTGGTAGAGTGAAGAGTCAACAAAGAAGGGGAAGACCCTCAATAAGATGGACAAAGTGGCTGCAACAGTGGGCTCAGGCATAGCAAGGATTGTGAGGCTGGCACAAGACTGGGCAGTGTTTCGTTCTGCTGTAGCTGTGAGTCGGAGACAACGCCACCTAACAACAACAACAACAACTTTTCTGTGAATAGTGACTTACTCCTGTTACCATCTCTCTTGACCTACTCTCTGATTTCCACAAGAGCAACCTTTCCTGCTAATAAATGTTCTTTATCATCTTACTGGTTACACTACAAGTCCACTACCAGCTTGCCAACAAGCTCCTAAAGATGAAATCTCCAAACTGTCTTTATTGTTTCTCATTTCCTATGTAAGTTCATATCAGATTATTTGAGTGAGAGAAGACAACCAAATGTTTCATCAGCCTCTATTGAAAATTATTTCGATACATCTTTATGTTATATCCCACTGGGGACATCCTGAACTTCTGTGAGAAGTCTGATTGTCCTTCATCTGATTTGCCTTTCCGTGATTCATCCAGCTTTAAAGATATATGAAATAATGGACTACTCTCCTTTTAAGGAAGGCATTGAAAATCTTTTAAACTAGAAAGGAAAGCTAAGACTCATGACCTTCTTAAGATGCCTAACCTATTTTTACCAGTATAATCAGATGAAGCAAGATAAGGAGGTCAAAAGATAAGGGGGGGTTCCAGAAAACTTAAGGACAGCCATACTCACTTCTTGTGCAAACAAAAAAAAAAATGGCTTTGACCACTTCCTTCTGCTCATTTGGGTCACATACCTTTTCTTATCCTCATCTCAAGGGACCACATCCTCAGCTTCCATCTCCTTGCCTTCTAACAATTATCTATAGTGATTCCTAAGAGTAGATATCTTTTCACTGGGAAAATCAAGCTTCACAATGCACACCGAAATGTAAGGTTTTCCTCCCTCCCTTACTGTCTCGGATCTATAATGGTTCAAAATAAAAACAAGACTGGACCTTCCCGTATGGTCAACAAAGTCTTCAAAATGGTATTTCTTTGGGGGACCTTTTGTTTATCTTCTGTATCAGCATTGTCCAATAGAACTTCCATCAATGATAGAAATGTTCATTGAATCTCTGTTGGTCATTATGGTAGCCATTAGCTATATGTGGATATTGAACACTTGAAATGTGACTTGGGTGATTGAGGAACTGAAATTTTAATTTTATTGAATTTTAATTTATTTCAGTTTAAATAGGCATATGTGGATCAATCCCCCCACCAAAAAAAAAAAAAAAAAAAAAACCATCAAGTTGATTCCAACTCATAGCAACCCTATAGGATGGAATAGAATTGCCCTATAGGGTTTACAATGCTGTAAATCTTTACAGAAGCAGACTGCCTCATCTTTCTCCCATGGAGTGGCTGGTAGGTTCAAACCATAGACCTTTTGTCTAGCAGCCCGATGCTTTAACCACAACCCCACTAGAACTCCTTTATCTGTGGACCATGGCTACCATGTTGAACATTGCTGCTCTTGATCAAGATGAGAGTGACAAACTGTATTTTCATTAGCAATTAACTCAGGATGTTAGAAGGGAACATTTGTTTACAAACACTTTGTCTCTGACATTGTGTATCTTCACCCTGCTCAGTGCCCCCTAATGTGTCTCTATGTAGATAACAACAACAACAACAACAACAAAAAAACTGGAAAAACTCAACCATGACCCCTGTGGTGGTTATGTTTATGTGTCAACTTGGCTGGGCCTGGTTTAGTGGCTGGGCAGCTGGTGGTAGTTATTTCCCATGATGAGACTGGCAATCAACTTCATGGTGAGATCTACCACAAGCAGCTGAGTAGCTAGCTGCTTTGGGTATGTGGTCTGCTTCCCATATATAAGCAGCAGCTTTGGGAATGGTCTCTAGCTTATGGCACGTTTGGACCCTGCACGTAGCTGTGTCATTATTCAGCAGCTTGCCATGCTCTGTCGACCTTGGGACTTACAATGGACTTAAATTAATGGCCTGCCGTGTGGTTTGGTAACATCGTGCCTTTTTAACTTGTCAACCTTGGGCTTGGCAGCCTCAGCAGCCAGCAGCTGTCTGAGTGAAGAAAAGCCTCTAGCTTCAGTGGGCCCCAAGGCTAAGGGGCTTTCCCTCAGCCCCTAGAGCCTGGCACTTTGAACGTGGACTTAAAGCCTCCAAATTATAAGAATAAACTCCTGTTTGTTACGGCCATTCCATTTGTAGTATATTCCTTTCAGAGAAGCACTAGATAACCAAAACAACCCCTATGTGTTTCAGAGTAGAAGTGTACTCCATAGGGCTTTCAGTGGCTACAATCTTAGGAAAGGAGCCCTGGCAATTCAGTGGTTAAGTGCTTGGCTGCTCACCCAAAGGTTGGCAGTTCAAACCTACCAGCTGCTGTGCAGGAAAAAGAGGTGGCAGTCTTCTTCCATAAAGATTTACAGCCTTGGAAACACTCTAGTGCAATTCTACTCTGTTGTACATGGTCTCTATGAGTCAGAAATCAACTCGATGGCAGTGGGTTTTTTGGGGGTTTGATCTT